TTATGTTTATTGATCAAAAATTTCAACTTCTTTTCTAACTTCATGAAAGATATTGTGGTTTGGCCACTGTTCATAATAGCCAAACTTCTAATACATGTCAGAAAAAGGATTTTGACATTTTCTTACAAAAATTAACAAAATACACCCCAGCTTCTAGTAACTAGAAGCAGTATTAATTGCCCATATTTTTTATGGGCATGTAGTGATAGGATATGGGGTGATGGCTTTAAAATGAAAGCAGGTTTGGATTAGATTCTAGGAAGAAATTCTTTATTGTGAGGCAGTGGAAGAGGTTCCCCAGAGAAGTTGTGGATGCCCCATCTCTGGAAGTGTCAAGGGCAGGTTGGATGGGAGTCTGAGCAACCTGGTCCAGTGGAAGGGGTCATAGGCCACAGCAGGGTGGTTGAAACCAGGTGATTTTTAAGATTCCTTCCAACTGAAACCACATTAATTACTTATTTAAAGAAAACTGACCTGAAGTCATGTCCTCTGTAATACACAGAGGCAGCAGATAACTCTTCCAACTACTGCATTTCTCTGCTCAAAGCAACAGTTTATTCTTTACTATTAAAAAAAAATATCATCTCAAAAAATGAGGGCTATTCTTTAGCTGTGATTATTACCTCTTGGCTCATATACTCTGACAACCAGAGATATTACACTATGAAATTCTTTTTCCCCATGATGGATTTCGTCAATTGCTCTTTAGCAGTATCTAAACTATCATGTTACACCAACCAAAGATCATCTTTACTCTGAAAGATTTGGAATTATGAAAAGATTTGGCATAATTTAAAAAGTTGTTAAATACTGTTCACTGCCTTCACACTGTTGCTTTTTTCCTCTACACACTGATAACAGGAGCACACTTTCATACTCAAAGGCAAAAATTAAAGAACCAAACAGTTTCCGATATTGTTCTAGCACAATTTCAAAGGGGAAAACAAATGGCCCACATCTTGGGGAATGTGGAGTGAAACCAAAAGGAACAACTGCAGCCTGCTCCCAAAAGCAGTGACTTCCCTAAGCTGAAACCAGCACAGATCCTTTATGTGTTAAATGGATAGGAATTAGAAAAATATTTATTTCTGACTCCTTGTTAACCTAAATCATACACTTTTCAAAATCTGTTCTTCATAGGAATGGAAAACAAAGTTGTTAGCTTATACTGCAGATACAGAAACCCACTTACATGGATACACCTTGGTTTACTAACAAAAGTCTCTGATGGCAAATAGTTAATCAAGGTAGAGCCCACATCATATCAATCACTGCAGAGATTCAGGCAGCAGCATCCAAAACAACTGTCACAAATTGTGACGATGAATGCTCCAGTAGAGGCTTTCATCATCACCATCTTGAGCCTTGCACAGCTAAAACGTATTTCACAAACTAGAATATATTTTACTGGTTCATAATATACAGCAAATCAAAGAGAATTATGTATTCCCTGACTGTAAGTAACCATGTGCTCCTTATACCTCTGAAATAGTGTGCAGGATAATGTTAGAAAGTCTGAAGGTATATATTCCAAGGGCCTGACTCTGCTCTAACTTCTTCCATGAAGTTTGGATTAGACAATGTTACTGGCTTTGAGAATTAAGTACAGCAGGCAAAACCCATCTCTTAATTCAGTAACAATAGATTCATGCAAGTAAAAAAATAAAAATAACCAACCAAAGCACCACATTAATGTGGGCACTTAGCAGCTGTTTAATAAATACACAAAGCTTACAAATCATAACACTTAAATAATGACTCATCAGTGGAGACAAATAAGCAAAACCAGTTCATATTTTAACCCTGCATAATGTAAGAGTTCAGTGATTTTTAAATTGTTTTTCTGCAACAACATTATTTCTGTGGTCAAATACAATAGCTTAAAAAACCTTTCAATCTGCATAGACATTTACCTACGTTATTAATTTCTAAAACTGATTTTCAATTCAGTAACATGTCCCCTTACTAATAACATAGCTGATTATAAAACTGCATTCCTAAACATTCTCAAAACAAGCCACAGACTTTCACCCATGGTTTTATTAAAAGCAGGAGGTTTCATGGTATTATGATTCTGGAGGGTAGGAGACGACTACAGGAACATGCCTGACTAGCAGCACAGTGTTGCTATTTCTACAGTCACACACTATTGAGAGCAGATTAGATATTAAATTTGATTTCTGTTTGGTTGTGCTTTTTTTGGTGTTTTGCTTTATAACCTAGAGAAATCTGAGTCTGCACCACACACTCGATCTCACAGCAAAACAGGAACTGGACAAGGAAAAGAAAGCGGCTGCACATTCCAACCTCATCCTGCCAGAAAATAGGATGTTGCAAAGATCATTTTCTTACCTAAGGGTTCTCTCCATCATGAGATCTGCCATAGGGTAAAGGAGAGAAACAGTCTTAGGAAACTGAAGAAACAAAGCCAAAAACTGTAGTCCAGTAACACACAATAGGTACTTGAAGATTTTCTCCCAATGGATCAATAAACAAGTTCTTAGTAAGACACATCTTCCCCATAAGCTCTAAACAAAATTAAAATGTATCTACTTGGCTTCCCCAGAGGACAAAGCTCTCTCTTATTTTGCCACTTAAACCATTTCTGCTGTGTTGGCTTGATTTTGCCCTTCTGTTTGGTATGGTGTTTCTGTTACTGTTTCAAGTAGATGTGCCTCTTCCCGAAGGGAAATTATCAGGGTAACAAGGCTGTCAGTGCCTCTCAGTATGCCAGGGGCACTTTGCAGACTGACAAAGGAGCTAAGAAAAAGGAACAGAAATAATCTTCAAGTCCTGACACGTCTGAGATACAACACATCGCACGTCAGATGCAAATGAAGACTGTACACTTGAATTAGCTTTTATTTTGTTGCAGGGGGAGAGATAGTAAAAATAAATAAATTTCTTTCTACAGGCACCCTGAGGCACTTGAACAAGCTGTAACCAACCATTCCTTTCTCTGCTTTCCCACCCCACAACCTGCTATATATTTCCTAATTTTAAGCATAGATTTAAAACTGATTTGTCATTTTAGCTACTCCATAGGATAGATTAGGATCCTTCATAAGACCTTTTCATTTACTGAACAATCAAACAAAATAAAAGGTTAATAGTTCAAGAATAGCTACAAGGAAAATGGATCAAAAGTCATTCCTGGTATAACCTCATTACTTCACAGACTCAGCTTTTACTGCCTGTTTTATACATAGCACCTCTGAAGAAAACAGAGCATAAGGGCTTTCAGGAGATGTTATACATTATAATGAAATACGTCCAAATAATTCCTTCTTTTAAGCACATTCCTCTGCCTCAACTTCATGATTTAAATAGGACACAGTAAAGAGTAAATAATATATATTACAAGAGTAGTAGTCTGGCTTGCTTCCTTTGAGCATAGGTGACATTAGGTTAATTGGTTTTAATGCTGGGGTGAAATTTCTTTATTAACTTCTGTTCTTGTTTTTGGTGTTTTATCCCTGCATTTACTGTAATGCAAGTTACTGAATTAAGAAAACTATTGAAAAAATCTGAAATAGCTCGATTTTCCTGTGTGGGAAGAGGAAGGTCAAAGACAGACCAAGTGATGCTGCAAACCTTCAGGGCAGCCAGGAAAAGAAGCTGCATTCCATTATGACAAAACAACACAAAAGAAAAAAAAAACAAAACAAAACAAATCCCAAACAGCACTTTGGGCAAGCTATGCAGCTCTGTGAAAGGATAAGAGCTGGAGTCAGACCTTGCTTGCCAGTAGGCAAAGTTCAAGTGCTCACTGATATAAGGTCACATTGAAATAGATTGCATTTGAGATGGAATCTTCAGTGATTTAGTTGAACTTTACGTTCCAGATGTCTTCATGTAAAGGTGCACTTCTATAACACTTACAAGCTCTGACAGACATGTTTTATAAACCCTGTGTCTCTGTAAAGGACCTTACAGGAAAGGATTTAGCACAACGGAGATTTTTTTCCATATTTTCACGTTTGCCGTAGAATGGCTCTTAGACATATTTATTCAATAAGCAGGCACACATGTTACATTTAAATGCAAGAAAACTGGGTTTATTCCCAAGAGCCCACTGTGCTGAGGACAAGTTAGCTACGGAAATCAGTTGGACAAATACTGAACTTTTGAAGCCTGGTGTCCTTTGCATAACGCCCAGTATGATGTGTTTGATTCTCACAAGGTACTACAGAAGGGAAGAGCACTTTTGTGACATTTGGTCAGTCAATACATTTCAGAAGGGGAACGTGGGCAAGAAATGGTCAGATGGTATTTATTTACAAGGGAGTATCAAACAAAATTTCTCCCAAACATTCTGTCTCCGAGAGGCACAGGTTATGGTTCCTGCCCTATTCTTACAGAACACCACTGTGTATTAACACTTCTGAGGTTTTATTTTATAACAGCTGAGGCCTTTGGGTATCTGCCCTTCAGCAGCTCTCACTCAGGCAAAAATCTATTAACTTCAGCATGCAGCAACCTAGCATCTCTGTGCTAGTCCTTACAGGAGCAGTACTATCACACTCTCATCATGCAGGTAGTTTGATCAGGATATCATCACAGGGAGGATATAGACACAGAAACATAAATTATTTTCTCTTCTAGATAGAGAAGGTCAGGAGGTATTACAAATGTGAGATATAAAAATGAAGGATATGTACCCAAAACCCCTTTGTTGTAGTTTTCATTACAGAACACGTGAAGAATAATGAAAAGACAGCTATATTTCTTTGGTCTACTGACATAAACAGTAAAGAAGGATAGAAGTTTTATGGAGCAGGGTAATTTGCATTAAACTATATTAATAGAAATAAATTAAAAGAAGGAAATTTTAGTTTAAATATTGTAAAACACTGGCAGTTGGTCATATCTCTTTTATAGAAGAATTTTACCATTTGGGACATGGAAACTAGCACACAGAAGGCATCAAGAATTTTTGGAAACACAGGTATGAATTAGTTTATTTAATATTTTTAGAATCATCTCAATTCTTAGACCACATGAAAATGAATGCAGGGCCCAGTTAGCTGTACCAATGTTTCTAATATTTGCCATTCATTTTGCAACCAGCTCAGTTTGGAAAGTTGAAGACCTCTGAATACAGACAACACTATTAATCATATATTGTACCTTGAGATGGATATCCATCCCATCTCTCCGTCACATGGACTGAGAAACCATTAAAGAGAACAAAGCAGAAAGGCACAGCCTGTCAAACTGCACAGCACTAGAAAGGATATCACACTACTGTTGCCGGCTTCTGTCTTTTCCAGCCTGTATGACAGATGAAAAATTTCATTTTTGTGACAAAAGTGGTAATGAGGATAGAAAATGGCACAACATGAATCCAGCTTTCTGACAGGGCTCATAATGAGGATCAGAATTGTGCAAAGTTAATCTAATCCCATCACAGCATTAGAACTCAACTCACAGGGGACTTGCTTATAACTATAATTTCCTATTTGTTCTCTAGGAGCACAAAGCTTATGTGGAAAAAAAAACCACAAGAGCAGAATTTTGGAACTAAAAAGAGCTGCATTATCATAAAATAATATGGAGACTCTGACAGAAGATCAACTTCAAGTCTCAGTGCTGTAAATGCTGCTGATTGCACCCTCATAAGTGAATGCATACTAGTATAAACATTTTTCCATGTACACAAGTAACAAAACACAATTGAAAGGTAGATTTCCTCTGATCTAGAAGATGGACTGGCTTTACCATCTGAAGACAGATGCACTAGTATGCATTTAGTAACTTTGTTCCTGTTAGAGAGCAATGCTGAGCAGCCTCAAATAGCAACATACTATTTTTTAATTATAATTTTAAAATTATGCAGACTTTCCAGTTTGCTTTTGAGTATTTTGAAAACTGTTGAGTTTTGAAAACTGTTTTCAGAATGATCACCATCTTTTTTTTTCGATTAGCTGTTGCAAAAGAGATCTCAAAATATTAAGTACATAAGAAACAGTTCTCTAAACAATGAATAGTTTCTAGAAGTTGAAGAATATAGTTTCTAAACAGTGTATGCAGAAAACACTGTAAATAAAAATAATGCAAAATTAGCTGGCAGACACATCAACAGGCCTAGAAATGTTCCTATTTTGGAGAATAGTCCCAGTTATCACTGGGGGAATTCCATCTCATATACATTCCCTCATACGGGAACCTTTTGCTTCAGATATGTAAAAAATATCTAGGATAAAATACTCTTCCCTCTTGTTACTTTCCCTCAGTCTCATTATTCAACTGATATTGCAAACACACATGGGATTACAAATTAATCCCTTCTTAGTTTAATAAAACAAAATAAAGGGCAGAACACAAGGTTTACCTGGATCCTAGCGAGCTGCATCAGGCAGAGGTAGATATTACTAAGTCTACACAACAAAACAGGCAGCAAGTTTGACTCCTGCAGTGAAAAGCAACTTATTAGACTGGACTTAAAGTTGCACAGATTGACCCAGTTCCTCAGAAAGAGACCACACAGGGCTTGTCTGGAAGCATAAGTGGACTATGTCCACTCAGCACATTCTTCAGATGTGAAAAGAGCTGCAACTTCAATGGACTGCAAAATCCTAAGTGTAATTCTTGAAATATATAATTTTATGGACAATTTTAAAAATCTAAGTTCCATAAGATGGGACTGAAAGGAAATATGTTGGAACAAATCTAAACATTTGGAGGCATATATGTAAGAAAAGATCTTTCATGGCTAAGTTATGACTAGACCAAGCGAACTCATTGTTTTATGACCAAGTACAATTCACGTTTCTATATTTTACTTTTGCAAAATTTAGCATTATACAGGTAAAATGTTGCTGAAGAAAGCATGCAACTTAATTCCAAGGATTTAGCTTAGGGGATATATTATTAACAAAAGAAAATCATATCATATTATTTTAATGGTTTATTTTATGCCCTATTTTTAATGGGGTTATTGTGACAATCACTGAAGTAAACATCATGCATATATTCAAAATGTAGTATGGCTTTCCTCCTGTAAGAGCACAATGTCCCTAGTGCAAGGTAATACTTTTTCCTTCAGACAATAACTTTTCTCCAAATATAAAATACAAAAGAAAAGCCCAAAATACCACACTTTCCATTATTTTTCTCTGTTTCAGAGGACACTATTTCTGACTCCTCCCTGAACCATAGTCACTCATACATCTTAAGGCTACAAGTTACCAGAAAAGTCAACTCACTGGCACAAAATATTTTTACGTACAAGAAGTATTCAAATGCTGTTAGAAACATAAACACTGATTTTAAAGCTGTGGTGGATATACCCTTGGAAAAGAGTAGGATGCACAAAGAGTGACAGCAAATGGCTCATTTACAACCCTACTGCAAGGGTAACAAAGCATTCTCTCGACTGCATTGTCAAAGTTTTAAGCACCTCATGTATTTTTGCAGCAGTAGAAGGTTCAAAAAACAGTAAGAGTAGCAGGCCAGGAAGGAAGAAGTAACAATGATACTATGTGTGTTAGTAACATCTCTCTGAGGACCTAGAAGCCAATTGCAGTCATGTGGCTGGGAAGAAACAGGTGCAGAGGCAATCTCATGAAAAACCACATGGAGAAGATGCCTGACCTACCATCCCATCACACCACTACTTCAACCAATGGAGAAACAAGCTGTACAGTACCCTTTACAACTGCTTTAAAGTTTTATTTGCCTCCTTACATATTATGCCTGCACTTGTACTCTTACTTTCAAGGATACAGCAGTGGCAGGGAAGTCATTTGTTTAAAATCTTCCAATAAAAGAGTGATAAGCATAAGGAGTGCTAAGTTTTTCCATATGAACTCATTGAACTGTAGGAAAAGCCTTTACATAACTTTAACTTTAACTTTTAGTTTGTTGGGCTTGTTAGTCCTACAAAGGGACTGCAGGGAAAGCATTTCATATGGAAGTGGATGTGGATCTATTAAAGTCTGGAAGAACCAACCTCCATGAAAGAGTCTGTAACCAGTAATAGTAATGGCCTTGGAGCAAGAGGCAAGCCCTGAGAAGATAACCTGTATCACTCTTCAGTGCTTCCAGAGGTTTATAACGAGGACATGGCACAGTACCTGTATAATAAAAGAAATCTTCAAATACCCTACCCTAAACATCTAGGTAAAAATCATTTTTTGTGATTTTTACCTTCCATGATATTAAACAACTGATCACTGTGGCAAGATCTTATCCCCTTGGATTCCTACACCAGTTCAGTGGTATTTTTGCATGATCAAATATTACATGCTGAGAAAAGTAAAACTTGTATTTAAAAGATTAAGTGCTATAGTGTACAGATATACACAAAACTGGAGACCACTATTTAGTGTTACTCAGAATATCCAGATTTTTTTTATTATTATTTAGTTAGTTCAAAAGGAAAACACAACAGTTTGAGGCAAAGGGGGCTGTAGGTAAGCTCCACATCATATGTGTCATGCACATCCTCAGGCTTGGGATTTCACTTTAGAGTGAATGGTGGAACACACACAGCTTCCTGACACAATAACATTTGTGATTGGGACAGTTGCCAACCAATCCAGGTGTTGAATGGTGCCCCAGCCCTAAATTCCAGGGGGAGTTCCACACTTCATATTGTACATTGTCTTTTAGGACCAGGAAATGTTTATAAGTACAAAAATATGCACATTGGTAAATATATAAACATCTTGTTCTGCCAAATAGGTTTGTATAAAGGCTCATCTGTGCATACACACTCAAAGATAAAAATTCAGCTTCTAAAACTGTAGGTATACAGTGTATAAGACATCCGTTAATGAGAGTAATGTATCAATAAAAGCATAAATTCAAGCATCAAACAAACCATCATGGGTACCTCAACACACACTTTCCAGTGTTGCTTGAGTATCCCTAAAAACATTTGAGGAAGGTGGGTTGATGCACAACTTCAAATACAATGGTTGGAGAAGGGCAAAGAAGTCAAAGCATGTCTGAGGGTTATAGGGCTCATCCTAGGGGACCCACACAGGGCCCCCTGCAAATGTGCAAGGGGAAGGACAGTCCTGTGAGCCGGGCAGAGAGCCTCATCCTGTGGCTCTTGCCACAAAGAATGCCCCTGCAGTACAATCACAGCACACAAAGGGAAACAGGAACAAAAAAAACGTAGTTTCAGAAGATGTGCGCTTGGATGGATCAAGGAAAATTGCAGAGGATTTTAAAATATAGCTGCACAGAGGCTTAGAAAGGATGAAGGGATGTGCTATAGATGTTTTCATACTATTTCTTAGACTGATGTCTTCTTTTACTGTGAAGTCAAAAGCAGTGTATAGCAATTTCTGACAATAATTGTGTACCTGGAACACCATGTATAGATAGCACAACATTCAATCAACTTATTTCTTCCAGCTTTCACGATGCACTATGCAATAAAATAGGAAAACTCAGGATCCTAGGGTGGCTTTATGATGCTGGCATCCCCATTGTTTTTTTGGCCAGAAATGGGTTCCGTAGCTTTAAGCTAGGCCCAGAGGGACAGAGAGGGAGAAGGGTGGGGAAAAGCAGGGCTTTTAAGCTAGCTTCTAGTTCATTAGCTGAGACAAAACTTATTTCCCTAGACTGTGGCTTCTTCAGGGGAACTGTTCAGAGTTGCAGAAGAACTGTTCAGCTCTGCTCCAGTCCAAAAGAGCAGCACTGGGAGCCCACGCCAGCAAACTCCAGCGGGGAGAGGCACCCTTTGGACACTGCCCCTTCCAGCTCTTAGCTTGGATGGAGCCACACCTACAGAATGGACTCTGGATCTCTGGATCTACCATCTCTTCAGAACAACGAGGAGTTCCATTGTTTAATATTATTCATGAACCAGTTGGTCAAGGGGCCACTGAAATCTGCCTTTTAGAGGAGACCCCTTTGGAGGCTTCCTCCCAAAATTTGCCCTGAACAAGGACACTCGGTACTCAAGTACTTTTATTTTTGAGCAGTTTAGGTTATGTGAATAAGGTCTAATAATGGGAAATAGAATAGTTCTTAGCATAAACTCCACTTTTTCCTAGAAGTGACTATTCAATACATATGAAAAGCATCTGAAAGCTTCACTTTGCCAGTCTTTGAAGACCATGGGAGCAATACCATGTAATGGACCAGCCTACAAACCCAGAGTAACTCATCTGGCATCAGTGCTTCTTACTGCAACTCTTCCCATGATCCTCAACTACAAATCCAGCCTAAAAGCACTCACTTTAATTTTTTTTTTATTTTTTTGTTGCAAAATACAATGGGATTTTGAACTGCACTAAAACCCAAATGGTGCTATATCCTTAAATACCTTAACCTTGGTCTCATATGTTGGTAGGCTAATTGAAAACAAATTTCTTCCCCTGCTTGTCATAAACCAAATTGCTCACCTCATTATCTTTACTTCTGCTACTTAGTATCATATTTGACTTCAAAAGAACAAGTGAGTCCATGGGCTGTTTCTGCCCATCTGCTACTATACTGCATTAAAAGCATATGTTCACCAGTTTTGGTCTCCTGCCCAAAATCTCTCTTAAAAAAAAAACCAAAAAAACCACAGACTACATAGAAGCACTTCATTTGATTATATTTTAGAAACTTAATGTGAATGTGCATTTGTGTTCCTGAATGAACACAATTTTTGAACTTTTGTGAATTTATTTCACAATAAATGAACAATTTATGCTTGCTGAATACAAAATTAATTTGTGGATGAATAGGAAGGTTTAGGATTAGGGAGAGGAAGGAAGAGGAAAACTTGGGATAGGGACTATGAGAGAAAAACTGCTGCCTGCACTGGAGCACCTTTCTTTTCCCTCTGGTTTCTGCTGCCCTTCTATGCTTTAGGGAGGATTGGGTTGCTAATTTGCCTCAATTTTGTCTTCAGGTTTATATCATTCCCTGTACTGAACCTCTTGGCATGGGACAATTTGACTGAAGTACCTCCCCAGTCACAACACCAGTGCCTGCTCCATTAGGCAGTGGATGTCACACTCCCAAAAAAGCCTAACATTTTCATAGCAAGAATCAGAAGCAAATAAAGCCTGATTAAGCTTCTCCTCCCTCAAGGTTACTGTCTCAAGCTAATGACAATATATGAGATAAGTACTGTCAATCCCTGCAGGACACATTAAATTCCATTTAAATACAGATTAGATGAGTACTGCAAAAATCATGGTTATAAAGGGTACATCCCTTTAACTATCTGGCATCCACTGCAAGGCCAGAGCAACAGCAGGTGCTTCTGTTAAAAGATGTACAGTACCAAGCAAGGTTTAGATGAAGGTCACATTTCTCACAGTATCCTTTTGGAGGGAAAAAAAAATCAGATAGGATAACTAAGAACAAAAACAAACAAACAAAAAACCAAAACAAACCCCATGAGATACAGAGAACAGTTGAATAAGAAGAATGCTTTATAGAGAGGGACAAGAGAAATTATATGAAATAGTCTTTATATTCAACTGTTATAATTTTCTGCAAGTACAACTAGGCATAACCCATAGTTGCCACAACTGTGAAGGATTCTTCAGAGAGTACTTCTGAGGGGGAGGATGGAGAGTCACTTACCTGCAAAGGCAGCAAGAAAAATATTGGACAAGTAAGCTTTCTGAACATACTTAATACTGGTAAGATAAGTAAACCTGAACACAGGAGTGATGAAGTGTCTGTGCTACCATCAGTCTGTAAAAGGAAAACATGCTCCTGGTCAGAAGTGGTGATTGAATTGCTCAGACTGGCAGCAGTCTTAGAGAAAAACATGCAACAAAAAAATTTATGCACTTACCTTAGTGAAGGTTGCCTTGAGTTCCAGGGCATAAATTGCCACTAGAGTCTCCAAACTCTATGGTGCACACACGTTAGAAAAGCATTCTGAAAAACATGAAGACAGCGTGCATGAAACAATTTACAGGAAAGAAATATCACCACCAACACAAATAGAGTTAATTTCCTTCTGTAAGGCCACTGTCCATTTTCAGCACAGAAACTGAAATATGTCCATAAAATCCAAATATTGTCTATATAGCCATTTTAAGATAATTTTAGTTAATTTAGATATCTGTATTTGGAGTTTCAGATGCACTCTGCTCTTTCATTTTTCTTTTTGGGAAAAGTGAGGAAGAAAGACATATTGGAGCACCAGTATTTTTTTTTTCTCCTTTCCCCTCACTCCATACCCACTGTGCTCATCATTCAACATTACTCAAAAGCAGATGGTCCAGTTCTGTCAATTAATATATTACAACTCTATTCACCAACCACACGATGCTCAGGACAACAACTCTGTTATTAACTAACTAGCTTCTGTCAAATGATTTCACTAGAATTGCTAAATTCACTCTGATTTTCTTCCATGTGAAAGGCTGCATCAGCAGCTAAGCAAGGAACTGGGCTGCTGGTGAAAGTGCTCCTGAGGAGAGAGGACCACCCACCTGTAGAGTGACAGTGCCACTCATGCACCACAAGGCAACAGCTCAGCTAAAATAATGCTCAGAAGAGACAAATCCTCACATGCAGGAATTAACCTGCAGCTGGTAAGATATTTAGAGCAGTAAAATCACTGACTTCCATCAAAAAACTCTGATCAGGGCACAAGAATCCCCCAAATAGTTCAAATATATTAACTAGATCCTCCACCGCTGCTGAGGTTTTCCTAACGATTTCCTTCCTATCCCACCCATAATCCTATAAAGTCATAGAAAAGTTAGACTTGTAACATGAACAAGACTATAGATACAGTTTCTCTGCTGTAATTTATAACCCCACATAGAATTATATAAATTTATATAGAATTTTAAACCTGCCTGAGCTCTTCAGACACCTCAATTTGAAATGGAAAAAGAAAGAAACTTCATTTGTGTGTCACTTTGCATGTATGCCATTTTATTTCAAATCACTACATGGAGCTGCAGCAGAAAAGATGTGGAAGCCATAGAGATTGGTGCTAATCTGGTCTTTGGAGCACAGCTGTACATTTAAGATGCAACAGAAAAAACCCAAGAGAATGCAGCAAACCAGGAAATAAGCAGCAATAATTCATCACAAAATGGCATACCACATTCCTCTTCTCCCTGCTATTTCTCCCCAACTCTCCACAAATAATTACCTTCACAACAAAAGGGGTTAACAGCTTTTCACACCATTAAACAAAGTATGATCCAGCTCATGAGCATCTACTTCCTCATACTGAGGATAAGAAAAACCAAATCTTCTTTCTAACTGGAAAAGTTCCAGGGACATTCATGGACCTGTAGGTAAAACCCAGCATCTTGAATTGCATCCAGAAAAGTCTCAGGCTCCACAGGTATCAAAGTAATTTTTCATCAACTTGAGGCTGATTTAAAAGGTTTAGTCCAGTGCACAGCATGTGTATTACATTAATCAAATTTGGACACGAGAGGCAGGCATTTGAATTTAGTCTTGTGTGCCAAAAGAATCCTTTCCTCCTCCTTATTTCAGAGGAAGAAAGGCAAGTTGCAGTGGCCACTGGAGGGCCAACCAGGACCTTGGGACAGCTAGGTGGGACCATGCCTTCTCATACCATCCTTGCTAAAGTAAACCTGGGCAATAAATATGTCTCAACATGTTGAGAGGTAAATATAAAATACTTTCTTCTTATTTTTGGTTAACAAAGTGATACTTAACTAAAATCAGATTTTTAAGTGGAAGCCTTAGGTATTTTGGAAGATTACTCAATTTATGTTACAAAAGAACCAAGCATAGCTTTATCTGAGGTAAATTCAGAGCAACAGACAATTGGTTCCACCACTTGTACAAGCAGCATCAGTCTGAACACTTACACAGCCTGCTACAGCTCAGGACAATCCCCAAAAGCCATGGAGACAGTGAGCACTGTTAGAAGTTGTGGTACTTCTATTATGTCCCATCATAGCTAGAGTGGAGAGAGAATCAAGAAAACTGGTACAGACCAGAGACATGACTGGTGCCAGGCTTTGATGATGAGAACCAAGAATGAGGAAGCAAAGAGGAAGCAACGTCCTTAAGTATTAAAACACAAGCTTATGCAACTGAAACAGTATCTCCTCTTATAGCTATTTTGCCTACAGATGTTACCAGCCTCACTTCTGATTTTATTTTTTTTTCTTTAAGACCAAAATAGTCTTTACCGTGGTTACATGTCACATTAGCTAGTTTCACAGGTTAAGAAGTTTCACATTCTACCAATAGGTCTTGGCAACTATACTAGATTGCACTGCTGCAAGCATGGATTGTGATAACAAACAATTCATTGTACTCCTTATAAAAATTTAGTTAGAAATAAGTGTTCCAATTTTTTTGGTGTAATAGAACTTTTCTTGAAAGTTTAAGCTGCTTTTATCAACATCAGCTTATTAAATTTCTAGGTTTGCCCCCCAAAAGTAAGTTTTTTTCCCTTTGAAAGGATGCTATGGGAATTCTCACCTTCATCTGAGCTAAAACTGAACCAGATTCTAGAATTATGTGTTAAACCCAGGAGTTAGGCAAAGCCTGTCTTTCAAAGCCTACATTTTGCTGCCATCTCTCTTGTGTATACTGAACAGTACCTTCCATTACCCACTGTTGTTAATGTATTTCCCTGCATTCTAAGTATTCTTTTAGATTTGCATTCACTCTTTTTTTTTAAAGATCTATCAATAGTACATTTTTGTACTTGTTGCTCTTTTCCACTCCTTTCCAAAACTGTATTTTCAAATTTATCAAATATACCCAACATAAACTATAGTAACATAAACATTAAGCCACGAATAAGTCAGTCAAAGGAAAATACTGAGGTCAAAAAAGATGGGGTATTAAAAGATTTTGATTTTGTAAAGATAGATCTGGATGGATGAATGGATGTCATAATAATGTTGCTTCCAAGATCTTTCTTACATGTTTACCTTATCCACATACAGTCTTAAAATTACACTTTATATCCACTAATATACTAATTCATAGACATAAGTACAACTTATCATTAGCAAAAATATCAGATTCGGGTTTTCTGTCAGCTTTCTCTTCATATAAAGTTTTTACGGTTTTTCTGAGTTTTTGTATAAGTCATTCATGCACAGAAAATGAGCAGTAACACATAGAACAGCTCTTCCCTTGCCATTTTTCTAATTACACAGCAGGATTTCAGAAGCATTTTGTTTCTCTTTCTGATCAGAGAAATAAAAATAATATTTTTTAAAAATTCTTGGATGGTTATTTCATATAAGAGATAAAGACTGCAATGAAATAGAATCTCTGTGGTACAATCCTCTTTACTGACACAGAGTGTTGCTTTCTGAGATGAGAAAACATCTGAAACAGCTGCCCTGCTTGCATTTTCAGACATCCTTTAGCCAAACCTAACTGAAAAGTCCTTTCCCTAATATTTCAATCCTCCAATACTGCTGTTGAGGGGTTTATTTCTCCCCTTTTAATGATCCAGCAACTTCCATCTGCATTTTGGAAATGGATACAATTTCAAACTTACCATTTCCTCTAAAGAAGGACTCAAATTACCTCAAACAAAAAAAATCCTCATATCTCTGACACAAATTCCATGGGATATAAAGATTTAAAATGCTAGAAGAAAATAAGTGCAGCACAAATTTTGGATGGCATTGTGGGATACCATAAATCCGAATGAGTCTCATATCAGGTCACGTTTCACTGCATAGCAGTCTCATGCTCTCAACTTGGAAGTCCTAAGAGGCAGAGCACATGTCTAACTTTCCCCAATATGTCTGAGCTGTAGAGTGAAAAAGGCAAGCTTTCAGAAAGCCTTTCCACTTGTCTGAACACTCTAAGTGTTGCAGTGAGATAAGATACATCATAATACCAAACCAGGCCCAAGCACCTTTACAGAACAATTTTCAGAAAGCTTATTTAAGTAATAAGCCCACTTTTCTTGAGAAAATACTGTCTCCAAACAGTCTGGCACACTGCTGCTCATACTCATTACATAATTGCAGTCTGTGGCCACCTGGAGCAGAGTTGTTTGCAGTAAAAGCTGATGCAGTGTGGCTCCAGGTTCTGCTCCAGGCAGAATTTGCAGCGGATCCTCCATAACTCTCCTGTAGCACAGGCTGTGTCAATTACTTGTTAAATTGGCTCTTCTCATATTTCTTGGACTAACTGGAGCACTTTGAAAAACAGTGGCCAGAAGAGGCAATCATGAAACCAGCCACCAGCCCTCCTAACACTTTTTTTGGTTTCTCATAAGAAAATCGAAGGCTCAGGTACACAACCCATGCTTTGTACAGTTTTGCTCCCTGTTTTCTTACAGGGAAGAAGTAAACCCAGTGTTGCCCTAAACCACCTTCCATAGTCCCCATAATGTTGCACAAAGTCTGGACCAACACTGCCAAAACTGTGTATTAAATGAACCTAATTACTGTTACAAGTTATGCAGCAGTTCTGGGTCCCTAGGAATGTCCCTTACATGAGCACACATCCCACATGTGATTGCACTGCTTCACAGCTTCCACAGCATTCATGCTGGAGGGCTTCAGAAAAGAAAATTCTTAGGTACAAGATTATAAAGACTATGGCTTCAAGGAGAAACCAAATATTCCCTTCTCCTTGGCACACACTGCAGTGCTAAAGTCAGCACAGTCAACTGATTAGATAGGTAAGTGGAAGTGAAACGTTTCCTTGAATTAAAATGTCATCCTTCCACACTTTTCAAACACTATTTTCCAAGGAATCATTCTAAAGAAAGACTGGCAGCTTTTCCTTATTGAGGTCCTTGAAGATAGCAGAAAGAGCAATATATTCTGTGGTCCATAGGGAGCTTAAACACCAATCTGCTTTCTGTATATACAGTCTCACAGATTGAAGTGCCAAACAGATGAAAGTAAATTTCTGATAAGGCCCCGTTCCTCAGTCCCTCTTGGACTTTC